TGCGCGCAAAAACCTATATAAATAATAACTGCATCCTAATGATAATTTAGTATCAAACAGAAATTGTAGGATAATTGAGTTTAGTTTATGCATACATCTCTTTTATACTTACATATATGTGTTCATTTTTATTAATTAATTTATTTTTTACATTATTATGCAAAAATAAATAAATATTTATTTAGATTATTTATTGTTTGCATAATAACGCAATAATCTTTAACAAACCTATATATAGGTACACGTAATACTATTCCTAAAATGCAACGTCATCGAGAAAGAACAGTAACCTGATATTTCTGGTCCTAAATCTATAATTTTGAGATTTCCGAAAAAAATTTCAAAAACTTTATTTATATATGTTATATTTATATATGTTACCTATTTAAAAATATACCGGAACAGAAAATTATACAAATTGTATATAATATTTACTTTTTTTCTATGTTATTTTTCCGCAACAAGTTTTGTCCTTTAAATTTTATTCATTCATGAATATGAAATTCAAAATCTAAAGTACATAAGTCTATTAATTTCTTGGACACAGTCATTAGAAATGGCAATAGATTATTGACTATAATTGGTACCGAAAACTCACTGTTTCGGGCCGATACGTGTATATATTAATTACTTTTCCAGCTACTCGCAAAAATATAAGGTGTCTTGTTAATCGCGTAATTTTATTTTCTGACGAACAGTTTTATAGCTCTAACGTTGAAATTATTAAAGGTATCTTTTAAATAACTGTTTTCCGATACAATTAATTAACAAACACGTTAACAGAAGATTAAGAGAACTCGGAAACAATAATACACTTAGGCCGGTATTCATAATCAGATCTTATTTCAAAACCGTCTTAAGTAATATCTTAAGATGCTAATACGGCTCTGTGATTGGTTAATGACATCTTAAAATTGTACTTAAGATGGTCTTAAATATAAGAACCGACTATGAATACCGGCCTTAGTGCTAGTGATAATACGAACGATAAGACTTTCGACGTTTAGAAATATATACCGATCCCGTGTATTAAAGGCCTAAGTGAAATGTTTGTCTTAATTACGTTAAATCAGCTTTTTGACAAGTCCCGCGCACGAAAAGCTATATAAAATAACATTGCATTCTAATGATAATTTAGTCGATAATTATTATCGAACAGAAATTGTGAAAAAATTGAGTTTAGCTTATGCATACATCATCTCTTTTATATTTACATATATGTGTTTATTTTTACTAATTAATTTACTTTTTACATTATTGTGCAAAAATGAATAAATATTTATTTTTTTATTTATTTTCCGCATAATAACGCAATCTTTAACAAACAGCGCATAGACTTACAAATAACAAGCATCAGAATTTATTTACATTTAACTAGCAAATAAATAAACACGTGAAATATGTGAAATCATCAAATTGAAAAGAAATATTAACAATAATTGAAATGGCATAACCCTTACTTGAAACCTTTTACTTGAAGAAAAATAATTTCGCAACATTTATGTATTGTTGGCAAGAGAAAAATAAGGTTTCTTTGTATCCATATACCTATTTTCTTCTGCATTGGTTTCCCAAAAACGTGCATGCATTCAAAACTCGGAGACAGATATAAACCTTATATGTATAGGTATAAGATATACTGTTCCTAGGCCGCTGTATTCAGAGTCGGATCTTATTTCAATCAAGACCGTCTTAAGTAATATCTTAAGAAGCTTATATGGCTCTGTGATTGGTTCATTACATCTTAAGATCGTACTTGACGGTTTAAATTTAAGATCCGACTATGAATACCGGACCTAGACTGCGTTCCAGAACCACGCTCTTAGGCCAGTATTCATAGTCGGTTCTTATATTTAAGACCGTCTTAAGTACAATCTTAAGATGTCATTAACCAATCACAGAGCCGTATTAGCATCTTAAGATATTACTTAAGACGGTCTTGAAATAAGATCTGATTATGAATACCGGCCTTAGCACTATGCTCTGTCCTTGTTCAACTTTCCGTAAGTAACAAAGATAGAACAACACTCGAGCGTGATTCTGGAACGCAGCCCTAGACTAGAATGAGAAAATGCAACGTCATTGAAAGCAAGAGAGTAACATGATATTTTTGGCCCTATAAATCTATAATTTGAAAATTTCCGAAAAAATTATGAGAAACTGTACTGTGTATTTATACACAGTAAAAAAATCGTGTGTACCTACATACCTATCGGTCCGTATGTTAAAATTTTCTTGTGTTACATTTATGTCAACGTGATAACTTAACACTTTATGTATGTCATTTAAAAATTAAATATTATTTTGAGTTCTTCTAACACAATTATTTTAAAAAGTCAACACGTCTTAACATTATTTTAACATAAACAAAAGTGAAAGTAAATCTTCAAATAATCGTAAACTTTGACATACAAAATAATTAAATATATTAAAATTAAATGTTTCAATTACACATAATTCAAGTTAAAATAATTAATATTATGTGTTAATATAACTTGAAAAATAAGCGTTTATTTTAATTACTGAAATGTTGATATAACTCAAAATAAAATATACATTTCGTAAGAATTACATTAAATGTATTACACGAGAAACTATAATATTAACCAGTAAAATATTCAAAACAACATTTCTCTTAAATTGAAATAATTGTTTATTCGAATGCTAGCCAATCAGCAGAAACCGCTAAGAGCACGAACCTCGCACTTAGCTTGTCTGTTATTATTACATTATACACAGTAAAAAATAAAATGTTAATCGTAACATTTTTCAAATGTCCCAGAAAGTCCACTCTAAATTTTATGTTAAAATAACTCATTCATCGTGTGTTACTTGTTGACAAATTAGAAATGTTAATTTATTGACACTATATTTTATATTTATGTGTTCTTTTTTAACTTTAAGTATAATGTAAAAATAACTTGTACAAAATGTCGATATAACACTTTGCTTCGTCTGATTTAATGTAACTCTTACGAAATGTATATTATACATTTTATTTTGAGTTATATTAACACATATTTTAGTAAATTTGATTATTTTATATGTCAAAGTTTACGATTATTTGAAAATTTACTTTAACTTTTGTTTATGTTAAAATAACTTTAAGACGTGTTGATTTTTTGAAATAATTATGTTAAAAGAACTCAAAATAATATTCAATTTCTAAATGACATACATAAAGTGTTAGTTATCACGTTGACATAAATATAACACATAAAAATGTTACGAAAATAATAACATAGCTGTTGTATGTTAATTTTACATTGAAATAATAGTCAAATCTTGGTAACACAAGAAAATTTTAAAATTTGGACGCACGATTTTTTACTGTGTAGGTACTTAAAGTCAAAAGAACAAATATAAAAGTTAGTGTCAATTAATTAACATTTCTAATTTGTCAACAAGTAACACACGATGAATAAGTAATTTTAACTTAAAATTTAAAGTGGACTTTCTGGGACGTGTAAAAAATGTTATAATTACATTTTATTTTTTACTGTGTATGTTACCTATCTAAAAATAGACCGAAAGAGAAATATATAAATTGTATTTATTAATTTTCTGTTATTTTGCCGCAAATTTTGTCCCTCAAATTTGATTTATTCGTAAATATAAAATTCATATTAAGGCCTATTAATTTACATATAGATATATAATGTTCTAATAATAATTCTAGAAGGAGTCATCGAAATAATTAAACAGAGAGAGAGAGAAGAGAGAGAGAGAGAGAGAGAGAGTCAACAAAATTATTAGTTATAGAGTTAAACAATTATTAAATATAGATAAATTTTTTTTAGTGCAATGAGTTTATTTTTTTTATCACTTTTCTGATGCGCTGTTTAAATTCGCAGTTTATAATAAAATATTTGATAATTTTGATAACATTATATTGCACTCTTTGTAAAATACTATTAGTACATGATATAAACAAAATATACGTAATATTGGAGAAAAGATGAACAAAGTTGGATATTGAAAATAGTAAAAGGATAAGCATAAGAAACTTCTTTAATTAAACTGAACACAAAGAATCTTGCCTATTTTGAGCTCTTCGCGTTTAGTAATAAGTTGCATATTATTCGATAACTACAGTATAATAAGCTATGGAAATGTGATATTTGCTGCCGCCGGAATAAGCTGCAAATCCTTTAAGAAAATAAAAAGTTAAGTTTTCTTCATCTGACTATTCTAATGAAACAAAAATGTTATTTGCCATTTTCCTACCATTTTTCTATATGTCTACTCCTACTTTACTCCATTTGCACACACATCACCTACTAGTCCTACCATCCTCTCCTTCACGGTAGAATACGATAACTACTTACATAAAAAGCTCGATAACTTCGAAACGGCTGACTTGGGCTTTGGAGCGAATAAAATTGTAGTGTTTTAAAAAGGTCTCGAGAGGAGCTATAAGAATATGCGATAAAAAAATAGGGAGTCCATCCAGAAAAAAGTTCTTTTATTTTATTGAATAAATCATAAATAAACGATACATATCCTGATTGATTACGCTGATCATTTTGTCTCATACATCTAAAATTTGCGTAGTTTCTTAATTTTTATAACTTTATGTGTACGATATCTAATTTATTAGACGCGTGCGTAAATATCTCGCAAGTAGCAAAAAATGACAGACAATTTATACAATTATGTCTACATTTAAAATTCATGTGGTTCTTATGTTTTTGAATACATTCAATTTTTATACACGCGCTTATCTATATTTATATTGTTAATTTATATTTATTTATATTTTTTATACTATTATGTATCCATATTTATATTATTATTACTATTATTTTTTATATACATTTGCTTTATTTATATTTAAAGCTGTTTATGAACTACGAGCCTCTGCTAATTACTGTATGAACGGCCCTGAATCTGTGGGGTCTTTTTCCCCTCCTTTCTCAGTGGTCCCCACTCTCCCCATTCGATACGCAGGGCAGAACAGGCTCAACTTAACAGGCACGAACTTGTTAGTGCAGGTCAAACCTGCGTACAGTGATGTGCGGAGAGTGATCGGAAGATACCAGTTCACGTAGATACCAGTAGATACAATTGCAGAAAGAAAACGAGCAGGCCGAACGCGTTCATCAGTGACCAGTGTTCAATCTCACAGTGCAGTGCTTGGATTCATTTTACAGTAATCGATTTGTCACCTATGCTGTCGGTCTGTCTTCACAGCGTTAGCAATAACATTCTCAACATGAGCGAAAACAAAAAAATGGTAAGTCCGTGATAAAATCAGTCTCATTATTCAGATTGCCGGTCAGATGTATTCTGCCAAATACAGAAATATCACGATTTATTTGTCTGATCTTGGGATTTGGACTTCCGGTTTTTGTTTGATAATGATATTTTTTCGCTCGTGCTTGCATGCGGAGTGACAAAGAGCAAGGATCAAACCTGAATTGTTCGCTCAACGGGCGACTGCTTTATCAGTAATAATAAGCTATAACCGGAGAAATAACAGTGTGATTTGAATATATATCTCAAATTGACGGTTTTTGCATGACCCCCGAATCACGATCAATCGATGAAAGATACATAGATGTAAACGTTTCTTCTGTTATACTCCGGACTGATACACAATATCATGGCACGTGCTCTGTTTCAACAAGTTTCCTCGAGTATCACTCCGCGTGCGTGGTCTCGGCATTTAAAAAGAATCGGGACTATTCCAGTGAAATTGCATGTAGAGTTGATTTTGATGAATTGTATATAAATTATTGTTGTTAAAGTTAAAATGTCTTTCTTTATCTATAGAATGTAATCTCAAAAAAGGAAAAAAATCAGTTGCTCGATCTAAAATTAGTTAATTCGAACTCTTGGTTTATAATTCAGTCTATAAATAGTTCACGATAAATTCTACAAATGACAATATATTTGTGTCGGTCGCTTATGTCTGTTGATGATCCCCATTATTCGCGAAGGACAAACCGAATAATATTTATTTACCATTAATACGATAAAATTAAGCAAAATAATAAAAATAAAGATTAAATAAATTAATATGTTTAATATAAATATGTATACATATAAATATTTATACATATAAATATATATATAAATAATAAAAATAACAATAGTATAATAAACATATATAAATAATAATAATAGAGATTTTTAGTTATGCGTTTGGCACGACTCAACTTCTGTACTTGCTTTCAATTCTCTAAAGTCCTTTCATCTCGAGAATGATCGAGAATGTTCTGGAAGATGATCGACTTGTTTCTAACTGGCGACCGATTTCCGGACCGATTCGGTTAAAATCTCGAGCTGAGATAATTGCACAATCCATGTAATCCGTACAAATCAGTTTTTTTCTCTTTTGAGATTACACATTCCCTAGATAAAGAAAGAAATTTAATTAACCTTAACATCAGTAATTCATGTACAATTCATCAAAATCAACTATTGCATGAGTTAAATATGTAGGTCCGGAAGTATGTTCCGGGACTTTTATTTTTGATATCGGTATATTCCGGGACATTTGGCAGTTTCCAGGACTGTCCTGGAAAAAATTCATGTCCTACGGCAATTTTCGGGACAGTTTTTTGAATCTGATTACATATACGTATATGCGTTATATTCCAGGACTGTACATTTCAAAAAACGTAAACAGTCCCGGAACATACCTCTGGACCTACATATATGTATATATATGTATATATATGACCTATATATATGTATGTATATAAAAGATAATATATTACTCACTGCCGGCTAAAAGTTTGAATTGAAAATGTCTACTATGCTAAATAAAATAAAATTTATGCATTATAATTTAACAACATATTTTTATCATTTTATTAATTGTTTTATAATAAAATAAAAAATGATATATATTTTTATATAAAGTTTGATACTTATTTATGTAAGTCTTATTATTTGTCTATGTGATGATGTATCATGACATGCATAAATTACCTATAAATGCGAAGGTGAATGCAATTCGAGTTTCAATAATACAACGCGAAAAAATAAAGTCTATTTGTTGGACAATTCGTGGAATTACGAGAGGCAGTGGGAGGCATTGCACACTTTCTCATTACAGCATCAACTATTTGTGAATTCATCTAGATGATACTCTGGTTCCAATTCTACGCTTTCTAAAAACGCTTCAGCTATCATTTCAAATTTTTGAAGTTTCGTGCAATTTATTTCACTTAAATTTAAATCTACAACGAAATATCTTATAGCTGGCAAATGAAATTAGTACATAATTATGCAACTCGCATCGCAGCGCATTATTAAAATAATTTTATTAATTTATAAAAATAGCTTTATAAAGAAAGTATTTTTTATAACTCTTGAAAATAGTAGGCACAATGATTTTCAGAATGTATACATATAAGCATATAATAAATTCTTTATCATATAATAAAACGTTCGATAAGTAATTGATAACTTTATTTTACAAGTCTTAATAATAGTGATGATTTGTTGAAAAATAATTCAAAGTGATCCTCAATTCGCTCCTCAAAGATTTACTTTTTGGAACAAAGATGCGTGGCAGAACGAGTAGCGAAGCAACGTCGCAAGCTTGAGCGCGATTTCATCATCTTTCACGGAGGAGCGGAGAATATAAACGACGAAAATACAAAAGAAATTCAAGAAAAGAGAATCGAAAAAGAGAGGGGATGACGTACTCGTGGTTCATATTGAGCAATTACACTGCATTTATTCTTTATTCCCGATATCGCACGTCGACGGATGTGGTGGGATCTAGTCGCTGTGACGTCACGAATGACCGTCATAGCTTCCCTTGTCGTATGCAAAAAAAATCGGCCACCTGCGGGAAAATAGAGTTATCCGCAAAGCAGAGGAAAACGAAACGTAAAAGGTATCTATAGGTCGATTATTGGGGATAAGAAAGGGAAGACACTTTTACAGCTTGCCAAAATGAACCAATGCCGTGCGAAAGGCATGAGTCATCAACTGCTCTCTCGCGGCTTTTTCTCTTTGGAGCGGATCGGGCCGGAACCGGAAATCTCGCAAAGCTGGTGCACGCTTCAGGACAAGTGAATGCTCCGAGATGCGCATTCTTGCATGCGCGTGGTCACCTATAATGCGTCTCAATTTATCGATGGCATAACAAATCGCATCTATTCTGTCCCAGCTGATAGCTAATAATTTTTTACAAGTTATTTCTAAATGTTTTATAAGTTAATTATTTTAAATGTTTTTTTTTTTAGCGAAATTGTCTACTATTTTAGAGTGGAAACTAATTATACGCATTTAGTATTTTTTTTTTTTTTAATATTTTTTCTAACAAGAAAAAAAATCTACATCGATATCTCTAACGAGGAGACTTACGGAAATGTAACTCACCGATTTTAATGAAACTTGGCATACTTGTAGAACATCGAAAAATAATCGACACGTATTTTTTTATTTCGGCAATGGTGCGGGTTTAAGGGGAGGTAAGGTAACCGTTCAGAGGCCCAAAAAATGCATGAATTTCAGGAATTTTTTTTTTATATAAAATAAATGAATTTGAAAAAAACTTTTAAGGGGTTTTATTCTTGTACTGTTACATAAGAAGTTATTATTTTTTCACGTCAAAATAACAGCTCTTGCTTCCACGCCATGAAGCTACAAACGACGTGAGTTTATGCGCGCGAAGCGCTCCACAGCCTTGCCAGCTAATCTGAAACAAAAAACACAAAAAATTTATTAAACTAGACTAAATTTGGAAGGCCTTATGGTTTTCCGATTTTTAAAAAACCCCCGGAAAACAAAATGGCAGCTATTTGAAAAAAAAACCATTTAACGGAAACAATGGTTTTTTTTTTCAAATGGCTGCCATTTTGTTTTCCGGGGGTTTTTTAAAAATCGGAAAACCATAAGGCTCCCCAAATTTAGTCTAGTTTAATAAATTTTTTGTGTTTTTTGTCTCAGATTAGCTGACAAGGCTGTGGAGCGCTTCGCGCGCATAAACTCACGTCATTTGTAGCTTCATGGCGTGGAAGCAAGAGCCGTTATTTTGACATGAAAAAATAATAATTTCTTATGTAACAGTACAAGAATAAAACCCCTTAAAAGTTTTTTTCAAATTCATTTATTTTATATAAAAAAAAAATTCCTGAAATTCATGCATTTTTTGGGCCTCTGAACGGTTACCTCCCCTTAAACTCGCACCATTGCCGAAATAAAAAAATTCGTGTCGATTATTTTTTGATGTTCTACAAGTATGCCAAGTTTTATTAAAATCGGTGAGTTACACTTCCGTAAGTCTCCTCGTAAGTAAACGTAATGTGTTTTACACTAATAGAATACATAGCGAGGCTTGATCAACCTAAATTTTGTTAAAATCGAGATTTGATTTATGTCTAATAAAGTAAACTAAACGTATATTATAAAACCCGAGAATACGACTATAAATGGAAATAGGTAAAAGAAGAAAGAAATGTCATCAAACATAAAGTTGAAAATAGTTTCTACCTTTATTGTAGTTTTTTTTAGATGAGAATGCGGAGTAAACAGCCCCGTTTAAACTCATTCTTCTGAAGTCGAAAAGCAAAAGTGTAAATATAACGCATACTTAGGGATAGTGAAAGCAATTTTTTTCAGGATCATTCATTCAATTTCGTGCAATTTAAAATATTTCAAGATTCAAAAAAGCGTAAAAAAGGCAGGGCTCTTGATTGAAATTTACCAAACTCTTTATCTTGAAGACTTTGTTATAACTATAACTTATAAAAGAAAACAAAATGACATTATTGTACTTAATTCTGATAGACAATAATTTATCTTTTTACTGTCTGTATGCGTGATGCAAAAATACGAAAATCGAATAATTCTCTCTCTAAGAAATTACGAATTACGAAACTTGAAATGCTCATGATAACTGATTTTTTCAACATTCTCGAGTGCGTGACCAATATTGCACTCATCAAAAACATTTCCCATGAAGGAATTAATATTATAAAGCTATTTTAAATCTCCAATAAGTCATCACACTTCAGACTTCAGACAAACGCGTAAGCAAACGATATTTACCCAGGTTAATATTTATTTATAATCGAGTTTATCAAGAACAAACTATTTATTCTTTATATAATAATCAATTCAAAACATAAACATCGAAGGAATCACTATTACGTTCGTTATCAAATCGATAAGAAGTAAAGATCAACACGGAAATGGTATTTCAAATGTAAAAAATGTATGTATGCGTAGAACACAACTGATTTTTAATTGAAAATTTATCTAATTGAAAAATAAATATTTACCCGTATCAATATCATTTTGGTAAGAATTAAATTATTGACCTAACCTAACCATACCGTACTCGCGTCAGGATCGGGTGGGGTGGTCAGGAAACTATCATTGTCAAAATCAGAATAAGCGTTCCATTTCTTCTTTTGCTACAAATCTGTAATGAATTAACAATCGTTTTGCAATAAACAAATATTCTGTTGATTTATATGCATATGCATGCACACGCATGTTGATTTATATGCATATGCATGCACACGCACTCATAAGCGCGCGCGCGCGTACACAGAATGAGTCACCTAATTGTAGCTCTTGTTTTGAAGTAGAAGAAAAATGGTAAAGGACGAAATTGAATAATCTAACAATCTTCTTATGAACTCGCTTTTTTCACAAGGTAAGTTTTCACAAGGTTTGTGGAAGGATGAGAAAGCGCAATTAAATTTGTGTTACGTAATTTTTTACATAAATTGATCCATACAAATATTCCGTATAATAAAAATATTAAGATATAGTTATCAAAAACGCAATAATTTAGGAAATATTTATATTTTATTCTGACATACTTTAAGGAGGTTCGATGGCTACAACAAAATGCAGAGTTTCATGAAATTTTAATATGTTGTTCTGGAATGCAAAATAGAATTATGTGAATTTTTTGGAAATTTTTCATCGTCCCGTTTTGAAAAAAATCTATTCCAAAAATTTAAAAAGTACAATTTTTGGAGTAGATTTTTTTCAAAACGGGACGGTAAAAAATTTCCAAAAAATTCACGTAATTCTATTTTTTATTCCAAAACAACATATTAAAATTTCATGAAACTGGCTGCATTTTTAACATAGGTTCTTATGGGAAATGACATATTGCGCATACCTTCAGAATGAAATAAGTGCCAGAAAAAATGCAAATAATAAGGAAAAAAATGCACATGTAACTTAATAATTTACAAATAAATGAGCGAAAGAAAGGGGAAGGTTACCGCACATTTCGTAGAAAAATTAATTATTAAAGCATAAATTGCTTGATTTTTCGTCTGCTAGACTGCCATGGTCGTGAACGACGTGAACAGCAGCACGCACTATACACGCAGCGACCAATCAGAGCAATTCCCTTCTCTCCCACTACTTCAAACGCTAGTGCGCTGTTGCCAGAACCCCCGCGTCCCACTACTCCCCCCCCTCCCCGATGAAGCCATCGAACCTCCTTAACATAAAATATGAAATATCTTGAAAAAATACACCATAAAAAATACCATACGGTACGGAGAACGTGTAACTTAATTTCTGTAACTACCGCTGAAGATGGCTCAAAACTGAGCCGAAACGTACGGATCGATGTAATGTATCAAAACGACGAATAAATCACTTATTTCTGATATTACGCACTGTGATCTGAGTCTGACTTTCATAGCCTTCTCCTATTTTAATCTCGAGGGTCCTCATATTACTTTATTTATTATTTTGACTTTTCTTTGATAAAATTTTATTATGTTCTTTGAAGGAGTATAAATTCTTCTTTTGGAGTACATAGTACATGATAAAGACTCTTTCTAAAATTTGTACATTTTAAGACTATTATCAAGAAAATATTCTTTCTTAAAGACAACCGTTACTTACTAAAAAAAAAGTAAATTGAGTAATCGCTTTTTTAAGCAGCACAATTGATATTTTCCTGTATGCATGTACACACGTATGTACATACGTACGCACAAAAAAATGTTCTATGTTGTTAGAAAATTTTATTTCTATTTAAAAAAAGGAGAGAAACTATCATCGCTTAGGACAGGGGCCCGGCGTTACGCGCCGCTCGTGCGAAATCATCGCCGCTTGTAGTAAACAACTGCCCGCGCGCCGACCGCGGGGCGGCCGCATCTCGCCGCGCGCTTGGATTTGGCGGAGGGCGGGCTAATACGACGATTTTTAATCATTAATAACTCGTCAACTATTGCGAAAATTGCAAAATGGTACATGACTTTTCGACTCAGTTTGGCTCGCTCTATCTAAATATGAGAAAAGTACCAAGAATTCAGGGGCACCCTGTATATAGACATATACACACAAAATAAAATATTCATTACGTGATGTGTGCGTGCATATGTTAACGAAATAATATTTATTTATTGCAGCGCAATTGGTAATTTACGGTAATTTATAATAGATAGATAGTCGAAGAATGTGATGAGAAGGCACACAATCTAATTTTTATATTTTATAACAATTTTGTTATAATGGGTTATTTGTTTGTGTTTGTGTATGTTGCTAATTTTATTAATAGATAATTAAAATGATATGATAATGAATTATATTTTGCCAATTTTACATTCGTTTTTATTTGAATTACTAATAACTTGATCCGCTTTCTCTCTTATCATTAAATATTCACGAATTAAAAAAAATAGTTTCGACTGTTAAGTTTTCTTGAATTCGCGCTAAGCGATAACACGTGTTTCTGTTGCAGGAATCTAAATCATGCGAGAATAACAAAGATTGTGACTTGGACTATATATGCTTTAACAAACTGTGCGTAGATTCTACGAACTTTTGCTCGCGATTCAATCGTATAAAGGGTGAGGTAAAGACCATCAACGGGCAAAAATGCGGACCTTGTAAGACAGGGTAAGATTATTCTTCTTTTTCTTGATTGTGGATTTTTGACTTCACGGTCACAGACGTCACAGTACCGTGATTTATCTCATTGTAAGATCTGATGGAGAAAGAATTCCAGATTATCCAGATTATAATATTCTCTAAATTTCCAAATATTGATAATTTTCTATTTTTTCCTCATTGAGTCCTTTGTGAAGTATTCTTTATGCAAAGACACTTCGTGTTTTGAGTCTTCTTAAGGAGCAATAACAATGGAAAATTAAACACTTAAATATATGTAGGGTAACAAGACTGGAAATCGAATCCCAGGTATTTTACTTAACAAGCAACCGTTCTATATTACGAAGTTATTCAGCATTCCCAGTAAAATTACTGCTGCATTTTGTTATACACTATTTGTCACTGCATACAAACGACAAAGATCATTTGTTTGCGTGTTAAATCATTGTTGATTGCTTTATCAGCAAATTTTATTTGGCCGCTTATTTACAAATCTTATTTAATCGCTCAATAAAATTTGATCTGATTTTTACGTGCCTTTCTAAAGAAAAGATATTCCTAAATGAGGCAAAAGAATCTGTATGATCTGCATGATGAATTCGAAAAAAACATCTGTTGCATTTTTATCAGACAAAAGATTATAGCTATTAGCATAATACTTTGCTCTTTATTAGAGTACTAAATAAGTGAACAATTGCTCTTTTACTTCATTTCTTTTTTCATGTTATATAAGAATCTTTATGAAAGCAACTTACAAGAAAAAATAAATTGTTTAATAAATTTTATTAATTTGAGAATATATTTTTATGATCGTTTATCAGGAATATCCCAGGTAGCAGAGTGACATCAAATGACGTATTAATTCCGTCTTAATGACGTCACTATATAACGTCTTAAAGATGTCTTTAGACGTCATCTTGCTACCTGGAATGATGAGCGACGCATGCAAATGTAAAATATCGTGGCAGTTCGAATGACCGATGCGTCATGCGTCACAGAGTAAACATTTGATTAGAACGGTGTCGCATGACTGTAATTATCAATGTCGAAGTGAATGTAACATCTAGACACAACGACGTCTTTTACACACATGTCGCATGTGCAGAAGATGTTTTAAAAACGTCTTCCTTAAGATACTTTTAAGACTTTACAAAAGACTTCTTAAAAATGTCTTCAAGACTTTCCGAAGACGTCTGAAAGTTATCTTTTATAAGATATTTTTTGGAACATGCACAAAAATATTTACATTACCGGTTAATATTTATAGATTAAAATACATGTGACATGGCCAATTGAGATATAACAGCCTATAAAAAATATTTTTTTCCAGCTAATTTAGTACTTGTCAGATATTTATTTGTATTACTTTAGTGTCGCGACACAATTAAGGCAAAGTTATTTGAACATGCATTATAAGAAAGAGCTAGAATACAAAACAGAAGTTGGAATTGTCTAAAAAAAATACATTAGTATATCAATAATTTAATACTTACATATAACTTTGATAACAATAAAATTGCATGTTGTAATATACATATAGAGTACATGTTATCAGAGTTATGTAAATATTAAATTTATTTATATACCGATTTATCACGCAATACTAGCTCTTTTTTCGTATTTTTCTTCTTATTAACGCGTTTCCGTATTATTAAGTTTTATTTTACAATATTTATAAAAGTGGTCGTTTAAATTAATTAAAATAAAACGTCTATAAGACGCCTCAAAGACGTCATAAATTCTTTAAGACGTCGTAATATTCTCTGTCAGAGCACCTATACTCGATATGTTTTTACAAAAAATTATCCTTCATTTTCTTTGTTTAAAGATTCAGCAAAGAAATACTCGCGGACGGCAAAGAAAATGATTTTTGTCAAAAGAACGTTACTGACACAAAACCCTACTATGTAGGTGAGTATATAATGCTGCTACTTTTAAATTTATAATTTGTATGCGTATAAAATAATTGTCGTTTACTCGTTCTATTGCTAATTTCAATCATTCATTATATATTCTCTAGTTGAGGTAAAATTTATATGAAATACTTATATCCGTATCTCTTAAGATACACAACGTTTTTTGCTTCTTCCTTAATCATTCATTAAATTTTTTGTTCGCAGAATCTACAATGGACAATACAACGGATATAACAAAATTGACATTAATGATAATATTTCCAATCCTTATTGTCTTTATTACGATTTACTTATTAATGTGGTTTATACGTAAGTAAGAAAGGCTACTGTAAGTTTTCAGTTTTTATCTCTAGATAAACTCTTTATATGATTTTCATTCCCTTTACTCTCTTTTTCCTTTTTCCCTCCCTTTTATCTCCTTCCTCCCTCTCTCCTGCCTCTTTCTCCCTTTCTTATACTTTATGATTATTATAGATACTTCATACGTAATCGGTCATTTTAATGTCTTCTTTAGTTGTCAAATTATTTCAATATCCATATCCTAATATTGAAAGTCTTGTTGAAAGAGTGTTATCGAGTAAATATGGTGTATAAATGACAGAACAGAGATTATTTTTATTTATGCAACCGAAAACCGGTGTGTTTGGAGTGGTGGTGGTGAAACCGGTAGTAAGAGTCTTTAATGATAAATATCCTGATAAAAATGTGTCACATATCTATGTGAATAAACTTGCAGAGAGTTTTTAAAAACTTTCTACGAGTTGGAGAAGAAAGTTTTTAGAAACTGGATCTGTTCACAATATCAAACGTACAAATAATAGAATTTTAAACAAGCTTGCTTAAATTGAAGTTTTGGGGCATTTTGCAATGAAGAATTTCAAACACATACACACTTATTAGAATGTGGATATTAAAGTAATTTGAACAAGAAATCGTAAGCATTTTAGGAGCTTTGACCGATGGATTAATAACTATACACTACGGGATTACACAGTCGAAATATTAAGCAAACCTCCGAAGTTATGTTTACATTCTTGAGGTCGCTCGTATGCACGCACACATGTTCATACAAAGCTACAAGGCATGCACGTATTTTAACTTTTTCTAAAATTTTTTTCAGTAAAAAAAACATTAGAGAAGTAAGTCTTAAAGAGTGTTGGACGCAAAGTTATCTGCTTTTTTGAAAAATACCTCTTTCTATTTAAGAAGAAAAAGTTAATCTTGAAAGAACCTTATGAAAACCACGTAATTTTTAAGATTATCATTATTATACACCCCACTTAAAAATATACTTTTATATTCAACATTTTTTTATAGGATGATGCATATTAGAAGATGTTGAGATGGAAACTTTTTTCAAATAAACACCCTGTGTGTGCGTATGATTGCGTGCGTGCGTGCGTGGAGAGAAAGAGAGAGAGAGAGACTGATATTTACATTATTTATGCAAATAATATTTTATTATTAATAATTAAAAACTTATTTTCCTATTAGTCTATTGTTATAGTAACATGAAATAAATGCTCCAATGACTGAACTAATAAGAAGACGGATTCAACTCTATATCAACAATTATTGATTAATAATTAGTATTATTACTAAAAAAAATTAGTACATAAAACTTTGTTCTTTTTGACACAACCAAAAAATATTAACATAAATTTAGAAAAAAATACTTAAATAACATTTTAATACAATAATATTTTATATTACACCATTAGTACCCTAATAATTAGATAAGAGCAGGTTTAATCAATGATTGAGTGCTTATTAAGTAATACTATAAATAAACAAATTTTTCAAATAAAACTTCAAAAACATTTTGAAGATATTAATGTTTTAATTTCTCATAATAATTTTCTCGAAATAATGTTTGATGAACGTTTTTTATAAAAGATTTGTATTCTTTTCACTCACAAGTACGAACTCTTCTTTATAGACTTATGGAGAAGAAAGAATAAAAGAAAAAGTGATTTACACAGTTGTAAACTTTTGAAGGGTCTAAAAATAAAATAAAAGTTCTACACAAAAATAATAACATAAACTCATAAAGCAATACTTTAAAGTTAGATTTTTATTTCTATTTCAGGGTAAATTTATTATTATTTAAAAATATATTTAATTCAATGTCAAGAAATTTAATCAAATTTCTTTTATTTCTAGTAATAAATTAAGAACATTCACCCTTTATGAAATGAAATTAGTTGAAAGTTATTGTTTATAATCATTTAATTACTCGGACATATAGATATTAACAAATGCATTCTAACAATCGACAACTAAGATTTTGAATACTAATAATTGAGTATTGAAATTTTTCCTTAAATAAAAAATTTTCAATTAAATATATATTTTTTTTTACTTTTTTATTGATCAACCGCAAAAGGCGTATTACGTATTTAGATAAATATAGTACGGTACAGTAAAAAAGTTCGAAAATATAGATATTGTATCTTAATTACAAAGATAATAAGAAAATATGTGAAAATATAATCTGTCCTTGCGACATTCGAAATAAATCTTTCACAATAATTTTCAATCAAATTATATATTTTTATAATGCATTTATATATTTATCAAGAATATATAATGAACATTATATGTATTTATAATTTATTTCTATATATTCAATTTTTTTTAGTTTGTTATTTTTTGCTGAAAAACATTTTATTGTTGACTTTTCGTTCACTGTGGACATGTTCAGTCATTGGAACATTAATTACTTTATGTAATAAACGAATTGCATAATTTAACGTTTGTCAATATTGAACTTTGACGATCACTCAATATGTTTCAAATGTATCTTTTTACAGGCAATAGACGCAACTTTTTTACGCTGAATAATGCAGCAAATACTGAGCTTGCAATTACTGAGGTTGCAACTACTAATACAAATGACGAATTAACAAGTATTTCACTGGAAGAGCAAAGTAAGTATATTTATACATATTTATACATGTATGCACGCGCGCGTATTTGCACAAGATATCTTATTTTAATCGATAAAACACATTTCTCTGATACCAAACGATATTAGTAAAAATATTTTCTACACAAATAGTTTAATTTTGAGAAAGCCATGTTACGGATAACGCATCTTTATTTTAAATATAATTGCTTCTGAAATAGTTCTATTCCTTTAAATAAAAGAATATATGTTTTTTCACATAAATTTATTTTCATTATTATGTATAAAAATATTAGGATAAAAACATCAAAAAATGAATATTTTTTAAGTGAAATATTTCACATTTTATTTTCACATGAAATATGTGAAAGTATGAAAAATATAGAATATTTCATCTCTATTTTTCGATGATCTTTCTGAATACTTTCATACATAAGAAAAATCGATTCATGTGGGTAAAAAAACATATACCTCTCTACGTCTAACGGAAAAATATAAATAGATTAAGCTACATTTCTGTCATTCTACATAAAAATGTTAAGATACAATCATTGAAAATGAGAATTTTTGGAATATATTTCAACATATCATAATATATCTTGAGCATAAAATATCGCAATTCTTCTTCTTGATCATCTTACCTTAACACGTTTATCGTCATGATGTCATCAATGACCGATATTGAGTTTTCCGTTTAAGTCGCGTCAATTATCTTGACTCAACATTGTTGAGCATGCATGATTAACGTGTATAATTGTTTGTAAGATTATGATTTAGTAATGATAAAAAAGCATAACAAAATACACCAACAAATAAAGTAATATATCTATTTTTATAATATTATTATTTATAATATTATTACAAAATATTATAAATTTATTTTTATATTCCATTGTTCTTCATATTACAAAATAACATACTTAGCATAAACAAAAGGCCAACTAAAATATGATTAGCGACATACTAACACGTTAATATACTTTTACATGAAAAATGACTCGAAGATTCGGATACATGAAAAATGACTCGAAGATCCTATAACCAGATCCATATATATAAAATCGCAAACGTGAATTACCTGTATCTTCCAATCATTTGTAATCGTATTATGTAGAAATAATTTCTCTTTGACCAAGTGTTTAATAGCTTTTGACACTTTCTTAATATTCTGTATGTATGTATATATATTAACTTTGCTTATATATGGTGGAGAATTTCTATCCTATCGTCTTAATATACAGGATATTCCTTTAGGACTCTGCCATTAAAGACAAAGCAAATAATTTGAATATAAATAATAATATCCTGAAAAGCTATAGGGGAGACCGGGGCTAAAACGTCTACGGGATAAATCCGTCTAATCAAATATCTCGGAACCTGTATATTGCGCGAACTCGCTATTAACATTGTAAACACTGCTTATGGTACCAACCCCCATGTGACCAACGAAGTTTCGGAAGGTTATCTGCCCTGTTATGATTTTTACGAGGGCAAACGTGTTTTCGTGGTGAAAAGTGAAATTTTCTGCGCGTGGAAATTTGGAATATTTGCAATAATATTTGCTCTCTAAATCTCGAGGTACGTGATTATAAATGCATTCTGATTATAAAGAGTAATGCATGCTGAACACGAATCCAATATAAATGTCTAATATTTCATGGGCGATCAAACCTGAAACTGATTTATCCCGGGGGGTAGACGGTTTAACCCCGGCATTTTTGAGATTTCAATTTTTCCACCGTTGTCGTTTTTGCTCTATACCGGTTAAACAAAGCGACGTAGACAAAAATTTTCTATATAAATTTTGTAGCTAAAGGTTCACTTTTTACAGTGGTATACCACATTTAACTACAATTATTTATTTTGTTGTTAAAAATCGGCACCGAAAAAAAAATAGACGGTTTAGCCCTACCTTAGTAAAAATTTTTCTTAGAATTCTTCATATAATTTTTCAAAATTTCTTTATAAATCCCAGAATTGTTAACAATTTTTGTATAATTGTGTAACTTTTTAGGAAATTTGTACAAATCAGACATTTAAAGAGACATTTTATATGAGTTGGAACACTTCAGAAATGCTGAAAAACTCTACATCTATTCTAGAGTTCTTTGTACATGTGCATTCTGAAATATTCTAAGATTTCTCATTCTCTAATTTTTTAAGATACCTTATAAAATTTCAAGTGTGTATTCAAGAAATCTTCTAAATTTAAAATATTTTTAAAGAAAGATTCTTAAAGATAAGAGATATGAGAATTTTTTCACCAGAGCGGAGACAATTTCTAGAAACATTCAAGTAGTTAAATGTTTTACGCTTTAAAATTTGATAAGTGCTTTTCTAATAAATTGAGCATCAACTGCAGCTTGTGTAATCTGCATTCTGCAAATTACAAAGATAATAATTGATAACATATGTAGTCATAATAGATTGCTACTCTATAATAGATCTGTATAATATAAACTGCAAGAAACCATTTAATTTTTTAAAATAATTTTGTTCTCTGATAATGTGCTGTCTTATCTATCAGGCTATCTAAATTATTTTATGTAATACGCATAAATTAACTTGTGACCGACTAATCTGCGCGAAAGAAAACTTCGCTTTTTCATGAGAAAAACTGTTTAATGAAAAAAAAACTCACAGAGAATAGGATAACTTTCAAATAATGCTTTACATAGAACTGGCACAATGTTTGCACAAATTAATCATTTTCACATTACACAAATAACTTGCACTTCTTATAATCGCACGCCTGTAAGCTTTAAACGTAACACTTTATACGTAAATAGGTACATGTTAACGAAAACGGTAATTATTACGTTACAGTACGTCTATGTATATCTACAGTATATCTACGTATTTGAACGCTGAAATGAAAGTGCGAAGAATTCAGACCGCGGTAATTGTTCTGTATGAACGAAATGATATAAATTATCTATAATATTGCATATGCAATGGCTTTATATAATTCACAAACGTTTGTTATTTTTTTTAGGACCATTTACAGAGCTTGCTAAAGAGAAATGTTGTGACAATAATTACAGACGAACTATAAACAATGAATATCAAACTGCTAGAGTGTGTACACCACCACAGTATCAAGTTACCCCATTGAGGATTTGTGCTATCGTAGCAAGTGCACCTATCGTATCGTCTTCTGGTAATAACGTTCCTGGCGCAAATGTTCCTAACGAAGGATATATTGTAGGGCAATTACAAAACGATATTCCTGATAACCAGTCTACAATGTGAGTAATGGATAAATTTCTTATATTTTTCCTATTCAACGATTGATATCAGATTAATACTTAAACTATTTTATGCAAAATTCGTATTAAATAAGTTTACAATTAGAAGAACTTTTTGTTAAATGACAAAACATATTACAGGCAAACGACTATTACTGGACGGCCGGAAGTTAACATCGAACAGGAAGATAATGCCAGAAATACAACATTGCTGCAGACTTATTCATCAGATAGCGACACAGATCCTGAGTCGAATGAAAAGAATAACGCTGAAAAGAAAAGTGATATTATTATAAATCAAGCACTCAGTAATACTATTAATATGAGTGTGAATGTTATTCATTAATAGTTCATTCAAGTAGTTATGCAAATGAAAACGAACGTTAGTATTAATTATTATTATTTTTAATGTTAGATAAGTGGCCTTGTTAATGTTAAATCAAAACAGGTCTTGGATTCGATTCTGATCTGTATATACTATCCCAGACAACACTATGTCCAAAATCGGGACATAAAACATACAACAGGATATAAACGTACGTCTTAAAGATGTTTTAATACTATTTAGGATCCTGTGTACGTCTCGATTTTATACAGGATTAATTAGAAAGTTGAAAAGGAATAAAGTATGAAATCAATTATAAATCATTTCATATCTCAAAAATTATTTATAAGATATATACATATAAATATGTATAGGTACACACACACACACACACACACACACACACACACACACACACACACA